GATACTACCGTCTACTAGTGCTATGCCACGAAGAAACTACAGTGTTATTATCGCATCCCAACAAGCAGATAGATAACTTGATGAAACGTTGTAGTCACAATTGCTTTAGGAATACTGCACCTCAAAACACACTCAACTTTGAGTTTTTGTATGGTCATCATGGGCAGATTATAGTTTACTCGCATGTAGAAAATGAGGAATGATGCAGGAATTTGAGAATGCATTGTAAACAACATGGGCAGCTGCGCCGCCAGCTTTCCCTTAACATGTAGCTGAAATGAGTCAATATGATCCCTCCCGTAAGCAATCAAAGTGGATCAATCACTCGACTGCCTCGATGTAGGTTAGCTGATTTGAGGAAGTTCGTTTGGCATGTATCAGGGTCGTGAATGAAGTAGTGATAACTCGGAGAATATAGTTAAAAGAACCCAATCAATGCTATTGCCTGCGAGGTTATCATTTTGTATTGGAGAATTCAGGCCTTCCTTGATCGGGATTTGGTCTTGTAGTGCAATCCGGATTTTGGCACTCTGGATGTCCCAATCATCAGCGACCTGCTGTGTTGCTGTCAGCCAACATAATTGCGGTCGGTGTTTCTTTGTCTCAAGGGCAGCTTATATGTTGATGACAATGTAGAGTGAGATTGTAAGATGGTTAATTAGTGTTTTGTTGTAATGAATTGGATGTGTTCATTCCTTCTTATCGAGTTGATATGATATACTCGAGTAAGCTCGATAAGCTTAATTCCCCACAAACATCGGTTACTATCGGGTATTCCAGAACTTTTTTCAGGCGACTCGATAATCCCAAAATTACTCCCACCACCAAAAGATGCCTGATCCATCAACAACATCACTGTCAACTCTCGATGCGCTCTTCAATAATCCCGTGTTTGCCGGAGGCATTGGTCTTGCAGGCCTTGGGGCTTCTGCCGCCATCGGTCGACGTTTCATGATACTGGGAGCTTCCACCATCAAACGACGTCTTTTGGTGAATCTCGAAATCAGTAAGGAAGATCCATCATATCAATGGATCTTAGCATGGCTGTGTCTTCCTCGACCACCTGGAGGATTTATCGCATCCAGAATTACCCGCGTTCATGACTACTCTATGCGAACGACCGGGGAACAATTAGAGGGTGGACCATCATCTGCGACATTTCTTGCGCAGCCGGGATATGGTAGGCATGTTGTGCAGCATAAGAATGCTTTTATTTTAGTCCAGCGGGAGAAGCAAAGTAGTCATAATATGAATACTGGTGTACCGCACGAGACAATCACTCTGCGAACATTATACGCTCATCGACATATATTCGCAGATATTTTTGCAGAAGCGCATGAATTAGCTGCGACACAGCGGGAAGGGAAAACAGTTGTTTACAAAAGTTCCGGAATGGAATGGAGACAATTCGGAGATGCGCGACGAAAAAGACCATTAAGTTCCGTAATACTAGACGAAGGAGTCAAGGAGCGAATCTTGGATGATGTGACAGATTTTCTAGGTCGGCAACAATGGTATGTGGATCGAGGAATCCCTTATCGTAGAGGTTATCTTTTATATGGTCCGCCTGGGAGTGGTAAAACCTCTTTTATTCAGGCCTTGGCTGGAGAACTGAACTTTGGGGTCGCAATGATAAATTTGAGCGAGCGGGGAATGACAGATGACAAATTGGCACATTTCTTGACAAAGTTACCTCCGAGAACGCTGGTACTGCTTGAAGATGCAGATGCTGCCTTTGTGAACAGAAAACAAGTTGACTCCGAAGGATACTCAGGCGCAACAGTGACATTTTCGGGATTGTTGAATGCACTAGACGGAGTGGCAGCTGGGGAAGAAAGAATTGCTTTCCTCACTACAAATCATATTGACAGACTTGACGCTGCGCTAATACGGCCCGGAAGAGTTGATATGATCGAGAGAATTGGTGAAGCTACAAGATATCAAGCTGCGGAGATGTGGGATAGATTCTACGGCGATATCGACAAAGATGGAAATGGCAAATTGCGATTTTTGACAAAGCTAGAAAGTCTTGGGCTTGTTGCTAACGAAGAAGGTAAGACTGTTGAGCCAGAGCTCCATACCAGTATGGCGGCCATACAGGGGCTTTTTGTGTTCAACAAAGACAGCATGGAAGGAGCCATTGATATGGTTGAGGGGCTAATACCGAGAATATATGAGCCTCACACTCTCGAAAATGGGATCAAGGTAGCAGCTTGAGCTTGGACAGAGATTCCAGTAGTAGTACGGTATCATTATTGTACATATACTTGAATAACGTCAACACCAAAAATATATCCGTCCGACAAAGGCGCCATCGAAATCGGTTTCATTGCCACGATCGCTCAACATTACATCTCATTCGTCCCTTCGCACAAGTCGTTCTAATGTATTGAACAAATTTACTGGGCAACAGCACTCCTCCCATCATCCTCAGGTAAACCCTCATTGTCCCCCGGCTCTCGGTAAGTCTGAGCAGACTTAGCAGCATGTCTGGTTTTATCATCTATGATATTGCTTTTATCGACAGCGACATTGTCAGCGGTTTCTACACACTACCATTAGCTGAAGTCAATCATCAAGAATACAGACAAAATGTACCCTCCTCGATAGGAGCTTCGTCACTCAGAACTGGAATTGGATCCTGCTTGTGGCCAGGACGGGAAACATAATCGTTGTCTGTGGGATTTCCTTGAGGAACTTCTGAGGATGACATGATGGATTTGGTGATTTCCGAGCTGCTTTGTTTGGAGAGACTTGATTTCGTTTGTTTGTAAGAGAAGTTTGTGGAAGAAAGCTCTACTTGTACTTATATTAGCTTTAGATTGAGATCGATGAGCTCTGCGTGATGAAATATAGCAAAGAGGTTAGGAGATGGTGATATCATTAATATTCCAATAAATCCTAAATCCATAAGTATCTTGAATCATTAGAACTTTCCAAGACATTTCTTGAGCAAATCATCAGCAATGGAATCATCATCATTTCAAACGTCAATACATCATCAACTTCCCCAGGAACAACGCTATCTTAGCATGGAGCGTCGCTAAAGCCGCCTTGCAGTAGCTCTCCCGTTAGATTGACCAATCTAGCTACAATTGCTTGTCATGACGTTTATAACACTTTGCATTTTGAAGAACTTCCTGTATAATCTGGATTTTATTGAGTGTGGATAAGAGATCTGTAGGATGTAATCATTGGAATGGCCTCGGATAATCGGTATGTGACAAGAAATCTGACTCGATAATCAAACGAAATACTTCGTAGAGCATCCACAGTCATAAAATGTGACGCATTGCATTGGTCCCGATGCTGGTAGTTCGTTATTCGGGACTTTCTCCCGTGATGCTTTGCCGTCTCCCGATGCACCGGCTGGATATGCAATTTTAAAAATCGGATCATCGACGGGAACGCAGATGTGTCTAATAGCTTCGATCAATCATTGACACTGGACTACTTGGGAAACTAATAAGGTTTCCCGAACACCTCGTACTTTATACCACAGAATCAACAGAGATATGAGATGATTCATATTCAATCATGGAGAGAGAGGTCTTATTCTAGAGCCAAATGAAGTATCTTGAGAAACGATTCTATTTTTGTGTCTATATTTGTTGATCTTTTCTTCCGATACTCGAACATGGGACGACAGTGTGGATGTTAACCGTACCTAGGAAGCCGGAGTAATAGTAGTGATATACAGAGTACAAGTGGCAGGACATATTTTCATGTTTCCCGAATTCGAATACGAAGCTTTGAGATGAGGTTCAAAAAGAAATCAGTGTGTATTATGTAAGTAAGGTATCAAAATGAGATTGGCGCACTACAATATCATTGGTCATGGCGGGGTAATTTAATGCCATCAGCCTGGCTCAACCTTCAAGCGCATTCAATTCTTCACAATCGTCGCCATGTTCACAGGTCTTGTTGAGATCAAAGGAGGTTCGTAGTCATTCTCCAATATTCAATGTCACCTCACTAACATTTCCAGTTGTCTCCGACATCAAACTCGACAGTCAATATGGTGCCACCCTCACCATCAGCAACGCCTCCTCCATTCTCGGAGACTGCGGACTCGGCGACAGCATTTCCGTAAACGGTATCTGCCTCACAGTCACAACCTTCACAGAGGATAGTTTCACAGTCGGGTGCGCACCAGAAACTCTTCGCCGCACAAATGTCGGTTCTCTACAAGTCAACTCCGAAGTTAATCTCGAACGCGCGGTTTCTGCGAACACACGTATGGGAGGACATTTCGTACAAGGACATGTGGATACTGTCGCAGAGTTGATCAAGAGAGAAGAGGATGGAGAGGCTTTGACCCTGAGATTGAAGCCTAGAGACAAGCAGGTCATGAGATATATTGTAGAGAAGGGTTATGTCACGCTTGACGGAGCCAGCTTGACGATTACCAAGGTTGATGAGGAATGGTTCGAGATTATGTTGATCGCATATACACAAACTAAAATAGTCACAGCTCTCAAGAAAGAAGGAGAATATATCAATGTCGAGGTGGATCAGATTGGCAAATACGTTGAGAGAGCTGTAGAGGGATATTTCGCCCAAGGAACTGGTGGAGATATCGCGATCTTGGAAAAGATAGTGGAGCGCATTGTTGAGGCAAAGCTGGCAAAGCTTTCCGGAAACTAATGTTTTCTCTTCGTGCCGTAGGATACCCAAGAATAAATCAAGGGCTATACCCGTTATTCGCCACCTCAAAAACAATTTCAAATTTCAAAAGCTTTTGTTGTGCGGAAAATTAATCTGTGGGTAAAAGCCAAGATCTCAAAGTGCCTAACACGTACAAAATTCGAACTCTGGGCTATGATATATCTGCAGCCTTATCTTCAATAAGCATGAAGCCCAGATCAGATACACAACGCGAACCTTGAAAGCTGCAAAGATTCTGTCAGTGGCAGCAAATTTCGGTAGGGCTCTCCTTACTTTTCCATACCACAGCCCTTCAGATGAGTGATCTGTCATATCACTAGATGATTTTTTTGCATTATCGAAAATGTTTCGAATCATTTATGGAATGCTAAAGAGATTTTGACTCATTACATCTATGATGGATACAGTTGCTCCACCCTTATCCAATGCATTTTTTCCTGTCCCATTCCTGAAAAGGAAAACTACATAAATCCAATGAAAAGACCGACTTTGCTGTCTTGAAGAGAAGCTATCATGCAGACTGCTCTATCTCCCACCTTGACTAGTCCATACTAACGCCAGAGTCAAACATTGACCTCTGAAATGATCATCCAGCCTGCCATTTTACACTAAAAGATCTGACAAATCCATCCAAAGAGACTCCCGGCACAGGATTATCCACCAAAGTATTCCAAACATCAACATCTACTCCACTGCTCGGCCACCTTTGAACTGGCCAGTTTGCCCAGCCCATCATGTATAACGGCACACCTGATATCGTAGAGTTGGGCTATTTGCATATCATATTAGCTTTTCTTTCCCTTCTTGGTCCAAAGCTTTCTGTTCAAGTTACATCTGATTTATACGAAAAACAAACATACCACACTCCACTTTCCCTGGTTCTCAACCTCAGTTTCCGAACATGTTACTCGACCACCTTTAACTAGACCGCATGCACCCTTTTCACTTCCGAATGTATACATCCACATCCCAATACTCTTGTTATATACAGTGCGAGTGCCATCAAAAAGACCACATATGGTAGTGTCGAGTGTCCATGTGAAATTTGAGGTCATACAGCCGGTGATCGGACCAGCTCCTGCAAAATAAGGCGCTGATGCATTGAGGGCTAGGAGATAGCCCCGGGATGTGTAATCAGTGGAGAGAGTGGTCTCTGTCAGAGGTAGTAGAATTGGAGAGGCCAAGAGTGGTGCGAGGACGATGGAGAGCACAGTGAAGTATTTGAACATTTTGGAGTAGTTGTTACTTCTTGGGAGTAACACGATTTGTAGATACAAGACTCGTGCTGTAATATTGTATGCATGGAATTGGAAACTCTTTCGATACAGGCGTACCAGCGCTGATGTCAGGATATCTTAAATTCTTATTTTTATCATTCTAGCCCAGCCCTGGTGACCTAATACCCTGACTCTCATATCATTACATTTCCATCATATCGGCTCAAGTATATATTAATCTATCAAAATCATTGTTACTTCCCATTTCCTGCTCATCACAATATACCACTTATCTTGGCACTCCAACGCCCCATGCCGCGAAACCCACAAACCCCGGGAGATTAACTCAAGGATACTTTTTCTGAAAGTACTAACAGGACGGCGAGATTCCGCCCGTCAATTACTTGGTAAACACAATTTGTGGAACCAACATATTTATCGGATAAAGGGGGGACGAGTCGGTTAAATCCCCGTGGCGTGCCCTGTGATCGCTGACCTGGTGCAGGATTTCTGGGGTGCATTCTGGGGTAATAGTGCCGTGAAAAAATATGATGCATGCAAGAATGACATTTAATATATTGTGGTCTTGGCTTCACATTGGAGATCCGTTGGGTATCACTGGAGTTTTAATCACACATACGGTCCGATTACACGGGATGGGGGTTCATGGTGGGAATTTTTGATTGCGATGTATTATTATCTAGTGGTCTATGATTATACGGAGACTTTCTTTATGGGAGTGCTAAAAAGGCAAGGCCAATATCGTATGTTGCGGTTAGGAAACTCTGCTCTTGCGTGGTATAGGTTCCGTTAAAAGCTGCCGGTGTAACCAAGCCACTTGCTGCAGCGGTGGGGAAAACATTTTGATCCACTGCGAATCGAGCTCCATCCTTGGGCATTGTACCGCTGACAAGGAAATTGGAGATCGCATTTGCCATTCCGAGAGATGCATGTGAAATAGTGGTATGTCCGCTTCCTCCGCGGTATACGAGTGTGGATGAAGTAGGGAGAAGACTGCGGAGTGCTTTTGCGGACTTGAGAGGTGTTGTCGGATCATTCTCGGCTGAGACAATGAGGATTGGTGTCTTGGCTGTTGCGAGAAGAGTATCTGTTTTTGCCATCAAACTTGCTCCTACGTTTGGAACAAGCGGACGTGTGGAGGGGAAGTTGCGGCAAAATGTGATGGGGATAAGATCAGCATTTAGGATTGGGGTATTTTCGAAGATGGAAATGCTTTTTGTGAGAGAAATGACAGTGTCCAATGTAATTCCACTTGATGCAGCGTTGTCAACACAATTGAGTGGATAAGTAGCAAGAGTTCCGACGCCTGGTGCAGAGCCATCGGTTGGTGCACTCGCTGCTAAGGATCCAAGGATTGAGATAAGAGCAGTTGCGTCGCGGGTTTCGAGACCGGATAAGACCGATGCAAGTGTTTTCCAAGTGTTGGAACTCTAAGGAGAGATGCAAGGAGGGGATTGAGGATATCTAAGCTGATGCTTAAGCCCGAAGCAACAATAGGATTCATGAAAATATCCTCCATTATATTGTCAAGTCTGGTAGCCACAGTACCTGTAACTCCGGTAGGAGCGGTGGCAAAAGAGTATCCTTTACTGCCGGCAGTGGTGCAGAAAGCTGCAAAATCGTTCAATGAAGCACGAACGCTTATTTGATCGTTTGGTAGTTGGCTGACATATGTAAGAGCATTCGCCTTTGCGTCAAAGACACCATCGGCAATAACTCTTCCCACGCGGCCTGGGAAAGTTTGGATAAACTCGGCGAGGAAAATAGTTCCATATGAGAAACCCCAGTAGTTGAGTTTTGCAGAAGTTCCATCCAATGCATCAACTATGGCTGCCATGTCTCGGACAACATATGCTGCTGTTGAGGTGTAAAGAGCGGGAGATTTCTGAGCTACACAAGCTTTTGCCAGAGCGGCGACAGAAGTGTCAAAAGATGTGATGGCAGAGCTAACTGCAGCATCGGCGCTAGCATTCGCAAATTGCCCAAGCCAAAGATTTGGTGCAGATGGAAATGCGTTGTTGAAATCATACTCCGCTTTGGCATTTGGAAAGCATTCCAAGATAGGAGCCGAAGCACCGCTTCCACGTGGATCCCATCCAATGACATCGTACAATCCACCGCTCAGTGCCGAGACGGCGGCACCGGCTCCAGACTGCACAAATCCAACACCACTGGCACCGGGTCCACCGGGATTGATTAAGAGAGGCCCGAGCTTCTTGCTTGCTGCTACAGTGGCGGGATAACGAGCAAGCGCGATACTTGCGGTTGCTGTTGATTTTGCATCGCCATATTCGAGTGGAACTTCAAGAGTTGCGCATTCTACGCCGGTTCCACAGGAAGTCCATGTTAGTCCATTCACGAGGACTGACAAATTGGCAGCGGCGACTAGAATTTTGCCGATGGAAGGCACTTTGATGAAATGAGTGAAGCTTTGAAGAGAGTGACGATTTGGTGAAAGTGTTTGCTTCTACTTAGAAGAGAATTACCATAAATTACATCGTCTAATATTTATATTGGACGATCGCATCTGACAATATCTCCATTACTGGGTTGAGCCAAGATGCGAACTTTGCATGCAGAAAAATTGAAAGTCCATTGGTTCAATCTCCATGCCCTGCAGTTTATCTATAAATCCATTTAACAGAGACCTTTAGCCACGAATAATACTTCACTAAATAGAAAATCCCTAAGAGCAATCTAATCTACGCTAAGAGGTCTTCTTAAATAGGGAAGCATGAATACTAGAAATCCACTATGAAACATAAAAAACTTTATTTCATAGTGGAGCTCTGGTTTTCAACAAAACTAGCTGGACTGAGCTAGCCTATAAAATACTAGGCCTTTGATTCGCTCAACGAGGTCGCTTAACCCTGAAGCTACAGGAGGCTGTAGGAAAGACCCAGAAAATATTTATGGATTGTTTATAGATTCGTGAAGATAAATTAGACTATGATATTTAGCTCGTTAATTTAGCTGGATTGAGCTAGTATAAGCTGAATTAGGCACAAATAGAGAGCTCTGATTAGCTAGAAGTCTTGATGGTTAGTTCTAGAGTAATAATAATAATATTAATATTCTCATAATAGTGAAAGACTTAGTCACTTTCAAGCTTAGGGAAATCGAATATATACTATGATAGTGGAATTGAAGTCAAATTATAAGGAGCTGAATTGAACTAAATTTGCTTGCTTTTTCTAGGTTTTCTTTAAAGAATATTCTAGATTTACATAGTTTATAATGAAATTCTAGTAGTTTTCATGCTTATAAACAAGATTCATTTAGATCGAATCTTATAGAATCATTCATATCATAAAAAGAAAGTACCATCAATTAATTTAGTTTGTTTTATCAATAATCTTTCATATGATTCTATATTATTCTATTTCATTATAAATTAATTTGATAAGAGATATGATAATATAATAATCTAATAATATATTTTATAGTATAAAATCATATTATACATTTATTAGTCATCAATATATCCTTTAATTAGTAAGATATTAATAAGTGATTTAATATACTTATTATAGAATCTTATAAAGATATTATTTATCTTAGAAATCATTCTAGTTATATATAATGAAAATCAATAGTATAAGTCCGCTAAATATAATATTCATATTTAAATATATTTTCATTAAATTTATAAGTTATACATATTTTATGAACTATTGAAAAAGTATATAACATGACTAAATGTCTCTAATCTCTGAAGAAGTCTAATTCTCGTGTAGCTAGGATTATAGGGGGAAATTTTGTTTGGATGTGGTCGGTAGAGATCTTTAAGGTTTTTTGGGAAACCTTATTTTGACTTGAACCAAAAATTGTATTCAAGCATCGCATTCTCAAGATTTACGAAGTAACCTTGTGCTTGTTCTCGGCCCTTACCCCTATGATTTTAATTCTTCGGTCATGCCTTGCGAAAGATTTTTTCTGGGTAGCTTTCCTATGGATTTGATGTTGCGCTTTTTTTCCTTCCTCAATTGAGTGTAGTTCACCAGAAGTTAATCTTGACTCTTCGTTCTTTGACTTTAATTTGTGACTAGGCGAATAATCCAAAGTAACAGCCAACAGTATCCGATTCAGACAGACTGTCTTCTCTGGTAACTTGACACATCCATCTACTACCATGTATCTTCTTCCTCAAAAATCTATCCACTAAATCATCTGGCCACGCATTCGACACGTGAAAATCTACCATCATATCCTTCAAAGCTGGCATGGCTTTGAATCGTTCATCGAATGCGTTCAACCCCATGCCAATAGACTCAAAGGAATCAATGCTTCCGGAATTTCTCGAGGAATTGACTGCCAGCCTTATACTGCCACCACCAAATCGTAAATTGTCCCATGGAGATATCTTCAACGTCACCAGATTTTTGAATTTATCAATAAGTAAACCGATAACTTGAATATCTCTTCCAGCGGGCCAGGGCTGACCGGGTCCAAAAATCGAATTGGGAAACAGCGGAAAATAGATATCTAAATAACGAAGAAAAAGAGCATTTCGCTCTCCGATCTGATCCAGAAACCCAGTGATGATCTTATACCCTGGTACATAAAAGTATTGAAGACGACATAACACGAATTTGTTGCTGGAGTAGAGAATTGGAGATGCTTCCAAGTGGACTTGTTTGTTACTTCGTAGGATTGCGGGACAGAGATGATATCGTTTGCTTGGGATTAAATACGATGGACTGGTTTCGGAGGATTTTATTTCAAGGGGTGAAGAGTCCGAGGCGATAAGTAGTTCGTTATAGATTTTGAGTCGGATCTCAATGGCGAGATCGAAGAAATGGAGCTGAGGACGTGGGTTCAATTCCTTTCCTGTCTGCATCGCGATTGTGGTTTTTGACAGGTGAAATTATCAATAATGCAGGTAATGTTGTTGAAGATGAACAGTAGACTTTTATCTTTTGTGAGCGTGGAAAGCTTTCAAAAAGACGTTAAGATTTCTTGTCGGAAGATGATCGAGTGATTATATTCGGATTATATAGCTTCACTCACAAGCAACTTGTACACTATTCATCGAAGGTTACGATACAAGGCAGGGAAAGAAGGGGACATTATACGATAGAAACAAAGTAGACAATTACGTAGGTGAGTATTTAAGGTTATAGAGTCAGATTCAAATACGACGAAGGGTGAAGTAAGAACGCACGAATCATCGCTTTGAAACGTCTAGAGCTCGCGAACAATGTTTGTGCGGCACAGAATAAGGTAGATAGATATCAGGAAGCTTATTTTTAGCTTTTGAACTAAGAGGAAGATGTAAAATGACGTCGGGATGGAAAAGTAGAAAAGTTTCGTAAAGAATTCGAGGTTAAAAAGCTGAACTGCTATCTATGGAGGGAAGTGCAAAGTCGGGGCACGGGATGGTGTAGTCCCCAATTCGTGTCCTCTCGAATCTTTCTCGTTGGTTGGATGCTCAGCCCAGTACATCACGACAGTCATTAAGTAGGAACAGCGCCATTGCAAGCAATCCTCAGTAAAGTATTTTGTTTTGATGATGGCTTTCTTTTTGAACCAGAACGTGGCCTAAGGAAATCTCTCGCTATGATAAAAATTAAAGGAGCACAAGTAGCCGCACCATATATTTACCCCTATACTCAACGCATGCATCTACTTGCTGCTGCGACATTGAATATAGAAACTACAAGTGAGTATATCCAACTCGAATGTTGAATTGGTGTTAAAATTGTGGTGTAACCATCACTTCCTCGGCTCTGTTAGCTTTCATCGTAGCAATATTGCGCTGGATGAAACTCACTATAATGTCAAATAGATGGTTGGGAAATAATTGTATCTTTTTATGGAGTGCTCTCTTCTTGAGGAGTATTTTCTTGAGAGTCTTTTCTTGAAGTAAGATTCCCATGAGCTTTCTCGAAATTCATTCTTGAGAGAGTGTGGTTTTCAACTTAATAAGTATCTTCTTGGTGTTTAACTTGAATCGTATCTTCTCGTAAGTATCTTCTCCAATAATTTCTCGGGAAGTTAGTCTCCCATCTTTTTCTACTGGCGGTGTACCATCCCACAAAATCTCATTCCGAAGCTTCTCTTCTCGCAATGCATAATTCGGTGCATAAGCTTCTTCAGCAGAGCTGTAATCGGCTCGATGCCCGCAAAAGTCAGTTCGATACTCACAAGGTGTATCCTGAGGTACGAGTTTGTCTGGGTGATCATAATGAAGGTATTCCCAATACGCAAAGTTGTGGGGAGTATCAGCAATGCTTTTAAGGTCACTTTCATTATGCAGGCGGTTCCCGCAGAAGTCACACTCGAGAATGTGGGCGTTTCGAGGGGCAAAAGTCTCAAATCTATCGCATTTGGGAAATGTCCAAGAGTCCCACGTAGATGGTTTCATGACTTGGGGTTGAGGTGATGAAAAATCATATTGCTGCAATTTGACCAGTCCTTTTCAGGGGTGTGTTACCTTTGATCTTTCTCAAGTTCTAGGCATAATATATCAATTTGTGGTAGTGCCATTGAATTGTCAGAACAAATACTGCTTAGATATGGGTACATTTACAGCCACTTTCGATTCTTCCTGTCTTGGAGTAACTAACTAGAATGACTGCACAAGCAAGTCTCTTCCTGATTCTTTCCCACCTTCTCGATGCGTTCTTTTCATGAAGAACATCCCTCTCTGTGTATCTCTTCTTTCTACTTCTTCGAATCCCCTAAACCCTCCCTATCTAGAGTCGAACACGACAAATCTCTTTCTCCTCGAGAGAGCGTCTCAATGCCTACACAGCTATAATTATACTCTTATGAGTCAGCATTTAAATACACCCAACAGAATCCCGGCCCATTCACAAATAGGCTTGCATTGTCAATATTGACTATATCTTTGATACTCCAATTCGTTATTCTGATCACTTCTCTAGAGAAAAGAAAGCAGGTTAGATCATTTCATAGTATCGTTAATCCAAATAACATATCGCATTCATCATCATTCTCACACGGAAATAGAAAACCTCGCTTCGGTCTACAGTACTTCAATTTATCAATACTTCAATACCCCAGGCGTCTAGTTCCAATACACATTCACGAATCCCCTGTTAAACCGCATTTCCCTGAAAGTCCCCAAATCAGAACTAATTAGTTATTCACACATCCCACAAAATACATCAAACCTGTCTATTTAAACGCTCAAGTTCAACCCTTTCCAGTTCCTTCCCTACAGCATACCAACTCAACCCATCCAACCACCAATCACCAATCACCAACCCTCACCAAAACCCTACAACTCACTCCCTTCCACCTCATTCCATATATACCCACCACCACATCCCAAAAATGCCACCCCCCTCCCCCGGGGTTTCCAACCCCAATGCACTATCTGCAATACACCCATCCCCATCCCCATCATAATCTCCCATCAAGGCCCTGTCCAATATTTTGGCTGCGGACATGTATATTTTCAGTTTATATCTACGTCTCAAGATTTTGTTGCGAAACCCTGACGTTGGTGAGAGAGCTTCTCAAGGAGAAGGAGAAGTTTCGTGAAGAGTGTGAAGATGTGTTTGTGCGGGAGGGGTTGCGGAGAGATGGGGAATGGTGTGATGTGACGCGATGTGAATTGAGTGAGGATGGGGTTTGGGAATGGGGTGTGGGAATGGAAATGGGGATAGGTGATAGGTATTCGAGATAGTAGTTTCATTATGTAACGCGCAAGAGTGCCATGGTAACGAGTAATGGAATCGAGACTAAAAATCCCTCCTTTCCCTCGCTTCTATCCCAGGATCCGAAAGCTCCAGCACATAGAAGTTGAACACAATAATCAGAAATCAGAAATGAGATATCCTTGTTTTCAGACCTAAATCTCGAATATGCAGAAATACAATCAATCTGCAAAAATAGAATAAAATTCCCAGCCCAAACAATCTATCTCTCGTCTTCTTGAAACACCAGCTATTCATTAAGATTCACCTCCCTTCTTCCAGAAGAATTTCAAACCATATCATATTTGCCAACAAAAATAGCAAGAACAATCATTTATATCTAATACTCAAAACACACACTCCAGTCTACCAATTAGTAAAGTTTCACATATTCATATCCATATTCACGATCTTATCAACAAGAAAAGTAAGATTACATCAAAGAAAAAGAAAAAGAGAAAAAGATACTATTTCCGCATCACACCATACCAATCACCACATAGAAAGTACAACTCACGCAACCCTACTTACAAATACCTAGCATTCACCACTTCATACTATATACCCATCTATCCATTCATTATAACAAACTTACACTCTTTTTAGAATCAAACTATATCTTAATATAATCTTATTTATTATATAAATTATTAATTTACTTTCATTTCAAAGGAATTAAAAGTTCGATTTATAATCTTACAATATAAGAATTACAATTCCAGCAATATAAAGGTATTCAAACTCATTTGATTACTAATAATCCATTTCAATTATCAAGATACTTATATATATATTCTGATTTTCTTAATTCAAGAAAAGTATTCTCAAAATCTCAATTAATATCTCAAACAAAATTACTATATAAAATCAATAAAGTTATAATTATAATTAATTTAATTATTAAGGACGATTAAAATGTAAATGTTAATTAGATGTTACAACGGATTAGTAACAGGCTGTAGAATCACCAACATATAGGCTATAGTGGTATTATAGGCCTCAGTGATTCAGCTGCAGTATACCGGGGGACACTAGGCATCCAAGGAAATCCTCAGGCATGTATATAGTATTAGTCATAGAATACCCTAGAAACCTAGAACATAGTTCCCAGGACAGTAGGTCCTAGGAAAGACAGAACACAGTAAGCAAGAAGGCTTCACTAGGATTAGTAATGTCCCAGGGGATTAAACTCCAGGACAAAAGGACAAGCTAGGACAATAGGAATCACGGGACAAGTGTCATGTGATCAAAAGCCGATCGACTTATCGATCGACTTGCCGGTCGACTTGTCGGTCGACTTCAGAACGAAGGTCTATATAGGGAATGGGTTTCATTACAATGTAGAGCTTCGTGCTCAAGAACAATCATTAGTTTCATTACTATAGTTACGAGAATTGCAACCAGTTACAACCTTATTGAATTCCTACTTGAAGTCTAGACTAAACCACCTCGAGAGAACTCTAGACACTTCCACGTGACCCTAGAGGCAGCTCCCGTAACATATTTAATACATTATTCACGAAAATCGAATCAATTAATTCAGAAGTTATATACAATATTGAAATAATATTAAATTGTAAATATATTAGAGACAAGGTTAAGTATTTAATTAAATAATTAGACTATTTATATTCGGAAAACATATAAGAACTTAAAAAGGATCTCATGTTACGATGGGTAACAGAATGCCATGTGACAAGTGTCACGTGGCGGAGTCCCCAGGAGCCAGGGCTCCAAGGAGGTCCTTGGGAGCCAGGACTCCAAGAAACTCCAACCAACATCAGAGTACGAAGATCTATATAAGGGAATGGGATTTCATTACAATGTAGAGCTTCGTGCTCAAGAACAATCATTAGTTTCATTACTATAGTTACGAGAATTGCAACCAGTTACAACCTTATTGAATTCCTACTTGAAGTCTAGACTAAACCACCTCGAGAGATCTCTAGACACTTCCACGTGACCCTAGAGGCAGCTCCCGTAACATCTCAATTGCCCTAAGAAATTACAGGCATTCCACCTAAAGTACTTACATTTGTTAATAAAGCCTCGAGCTTGGTATTAAATAATGAAGGCAATGAAGAGTCGAAGAAATTAAAGGAAGAAAAACTATTAGGAATAAGTGTAATAGTATTAATAGTTTCCTTTTTTATATGTTCTTTTTCTAATCTTTCCTTCTCTTCTTTTTTCACTAACTTATTAAGAGTCTGTAAATTACAACGAAGCATTTCGGATTTATACTTTAATAGGAAATGTTTTTGTTTTTGTAATTGTAAAATTTTAGTTATAATCTTTTCCTCCTTTTGATTCAATCTCTTTTTCTATTAGAATAAACTTTCCCAATTATTCTCAAACGGATCTTGAATATTACATTTCTTACTATTACAAATACATTCATTATATTATAATAAATCAAAAAATGAAATAATACATTTACAATCAGTACATTTACATAGCGAATATAAGAATATTTCGAAACCTTTCTATTCAATAAGATAAGTAAGATGAATTTGTTCTTTTCTTTTGTTAGTATTTAGAGGAGATATATATAAAAATAAAAAAAGCATTATAATCATTAAGTAGACAAAAGGGAAGACATACTAATATAAACGTTTGGGACAAATGCTAAACTAAGAAGGAAATAGTGTTACAATAGATTAATAATAGGCTGTAGAATCACCAACATATAGGCTATAGTAGTACTATAAGCCTCAATGATTTAGCTATAATATACTAAGGGATGCTAAGCATTTAGGAGAACCTTAGACATATATATAATATTAGTTATAAGATATTCTAAAAACATAGAATATAGTTCTTAGGACAATAGGTTTTAGGAAAGATAGAATACAATAAGCAAGAAGGCTTCATTAGAATTAATAATGTCCTAGGGGATTAGTTCTAGAACAAAAGAATAAGCTAGGATATTAAGAATCACAGGATTAATATCCTGTAATAGACAGCTCAAAAACAATAATGTTCTAGAAGCATTTAGTTGTTCCAATTGTTTAAATAGAATAAAGATCTATATAAAGAAATAGATTTCATTATAATATAAAGCTTTATACTTAAGAACAATTATTAATTTCATTATTATAATTATGAGAATTGTAATCAATTATAACCTTATTGAATTCCTATTTGAAGTCTAGTTTAAACCACCTCGAGAGAACTCTAGACACTTCCACATGACCCTAGAAGCAGCTCCCGTAACATTAGACATACATATACTTTTATCGATTTATTATTTAAGTCGACCATCCTACTTTCAGGCCACTCCTGCTTTAGGCCATCCTTTTATATCAAAAATCGCTTTTTTAGCTTATTAATATCTCTATTAATATATAATCTAATTTAATAAAAATTTGAATATATATAATTTAAGCTATTCTAAGTTTATTCTGAAATTTTGAAATTTTTAGGAATTTTCTGTATTGAAATCTAAAGCTTTAAAATATCGATTTTTTAATTTATATAGGAATTATATATAAATTTAAAATTTTTATAAAATCTTTAATAACTTTTTAATAACAATTATTAAAAGAAAACTATATATCTTTTTGAAAGTTTTGAATTTAAATTTATATAGAAATTAAAAAAAAAATTAAAAAAAAATTAACAGATATAGAGATATAGTATATAATGAGTTTAGAATAGTATAAATAATCCCTGTAATTTTGAGGGTATTCTTTTAAATATC